ACCCAGGAGGAGAATGGAGGAGGAGGGATTACAGCATGGCCATCCCCCTTGAGGGGTGATTTCTCACTTTCCCTCTCACTATCTCTCCGTGGTGAACACAGATGCCATGTCAAATGGCAAAAACCTAAAAAAAAAAAAAAAAAAAAAATCATTTCTGCCTGTTATGAGCAGACTGACCAGGCAAGTTCTTTAACTTTTCTTGGCTTTAGTTTTCTCCCTATAAAGAAGAGAGAGTTCCTTTTTCACAGAGTTGTTGTAAGAACTATGTAATTTTAAAGCACTAATTTACACCTCTCATTTATAGGAGAGGTGTAGTTGCAGTTTGAATCTATTGGGCGACTTGTTTTTTTGTGTGTTGTTGTCATCATTAGTAATCTGATAGGTGACGGCAATCCACGGATGGTTTGTGGACAGAGAAGGGACGTGTTTGACATGATATCTTGGAACAATTTTGTGTTGGTGAATGAAGTAGTATTTACTGTTAGTGAGGCTGGTTAGGAGACTTCCAACAGTGAAGGGAGGAGGTGACATAGGGCAATGCAGGATAGAGGCAGAAAGGGAGGAAAAGATGACACTGAAATGTTGATAATGTCTGGCCAGTTTTGGCACTCTAGCAAGTGTGAAAGATAAGAGAGAGGGAAAATGACCATGATGACCTGGTGTCACACCTGGGTGCTGGGGACAATGGGCTATTGTTAAGTGAGAAAGAAGGTAGAGGGTGATTTTGGAGCGCCAGAGGGCATCTAGGTGGAAGTCTAGAAGTCAGGAGGAAAGCAGGCGTGGAGCTTGGGAAAGAGCCCAAGGCTGAAGAGGACTTGGCAGTGGATGGGGAGGCTTCAGGAGCAGGTATGGAAATGGAAAAGGGAGTGGATGGCAGCCCTTTAGAACTGTTTTAGCTGGAGTAGGAGGAGGAAAAAAAAATTGCAAAGGAAAAAACCGGCCAAGAGCCAGAGTGCAGGAACATGAATGGCGAGAAGGGGGAGCTTAAGGGCGGGGGTGGTGAACAGTGCCGACCATTGTGAAGAGGTCCACTGGGATGAAGGCTGGGAAGTGGTCATGGGATTTGCAGATTACACAGTGGACAATCAACATTTCCAAGTGTTGTGGGTAAAAGCCACATCACTGGAGGTCGGGTGGAAGAAGAGAAGGCATCCGCTTCTGCGGATAACAGAGTTGAAGTAATGTTTGTTATTTTTCTAATGGAGGAAACATGAGTATATTTGTTGGTTGGAGAAAGAAAGCTTATAGAGCATGAAATTATTGACGAAGGCAATGATAGTGAATTGAGCCAAGGCTTGCAATAAATAAATAAGCCAAATTGGGGGTGGAAGCTCTCCTTAGAGGAAAATAGGAACAGAAGACAGAAGAGAGAAGAAACAGATCTTTTTTTTTAATTGCCAGAAGGCATGTGCACTCCCCAGAGAGAGACAGAGAGGGAAGAGGAAGAGAAGGCACCCCCCAGAGGGCCATGGCCACGCTACAATTTCTTCTCCTCCATGTCTCTATTAGTTAGGCTTTGGGGCAAGCACATACACAAACCTGGCATGTTTTTCAAGTTGCCAAGGCCAGGACTCAAACCATGGTCAGCCATGTGAGGCCCAGCTCCCTTAACCACTGGGCCATGGGGTTGGCTTGGAAGAAACAGATTTTTGAAGTGCAGAGAGAGAAAGTGGTGGCTTCAGTATTTTCTGTAGTGTCTGAGCATGTTGAGGAGAAGAACTGAGAAGGTTTCAAACAGCTGCCCTGGGGAATGTGCGAGAGAAGCGATCAGAGATGACAGACAAGCTGCCCACTCGCCAGCCTCCTATCTACACCCAGTCTTGTCCTTTCTGAAATATATGGCAATTTGGCAGTTTTGCACATGAAGATAGGCTTAGAAGGTAAACCATTCCCCTAAACCCACACATACCCACTTCAGGCTTTATTTACATCCTAGCTTAGAATAGCTAATTCCTGGGGACCAGCAGTTGGCATAATGGCTATGTTGCTGGACTCCCATGTAGTCGACTGAGGTTCGAGTCCCGGACCCGGTGGCTGAAACTCACACCGGGTGCATGTGCGTGTGTGTCCAAGATCCCGGGAGGAGAATAGAGAAGAAGGGATCACAGTATGACCATCCCCTCTGGAGGGTGATTTCTCACTTTCTGTCTCCCTCTCTCTCTCTGTCTTTCTGACAAGCACACACGCCCTATAGCAAAAACCTCTCCCCCCCCCCAAAAAGAGAGAGAGAGAGAGAAAAGAATAATAGCTTATTCCCTTAAATTTCTTAGATGTTTCCATATTCATTTCACCAACCATAGGTTTTGCTTATCTCCGAGGTCGGGGGTGTTGGTCCCTCAGAGGACTGTACCCATGCTGTGCCAGTCCTGGCGTGTGTCAGAGCTGCCAGGCTGGCCACATCCCTTTCTTGCAAACCTGCCCCGGCATAGTCCCTGACATGCTGTTACCCCCTGGCCACAACAGATGGACCCTGGATGTCTGGCCAGGAACCAAATTCTCCTGCACACAAAAGTGAAGAGAGTTGGGGGCAGGGGCAGGGAGAGAAGAGAGCTGCATCTTCCCTGAGAACCATGTCATCCATGGTCTGCTCAAGGATGGGAGAAGGCACAAGAAGGGGAACTTTGCGATGAGATCTTGGGGTCTCTGGAAATTAGGGCGAATAGACTTGGGATGTGGTTCTCCGGGTCCCCATGAGGCCTAACTGGACTACTGATCCTGGGTTCAGTCTGATTCTCCCCTCCTCTCTCTGCAGTCCAATCTGACTAGGTGTCTGCTCCTCACTGCCAAAACGCCTTCCCGCTCTTCTCAATCTCCCCAGTGCACAGGGGCTATTGCAAGGCCTGGAGGGAGGCAGGCCGCCCACCCGTTCTGTGGGCACCGGCCCGGATTCCTTTTCTGCCTTGACCCCGTGAGGACAAGCTCCCTTGGCCCTGTCACAATTAGACACGTGACTCTTTGTGCTAGCAGAGTTCTTTGCTTTTCCACTGCGTGAAACCTAGGCCTCGACGCAGGGGCATATTGACTGAATAAAATCAGCTGCATCGTTTAGAATGAAAAACAATAAAGAAAGTGCATTTCCCTATCATTGAAAAGAATAAGAAGCCATGCGTGTCGTTGTGGAGTTGGGGAGGAAGAGATGAAGAGACGCGAGGGCTGACTGACTTTCTGTCTCTGAGGCCAGTGTCTCAGCAGTACAGAGAAGAGGACAAAAGAAGCAAGCAGTGTGTGTGGCCATGTGCGAGAGGAGGGAGAAGCAGCAGGCTCTCATGGGGACCGCAAGGAGTTTGAACTCTGCAGAGCAAGTCGATGCCAGCGATGAGACCTCCGTATTCTGTCACATCGAAGGAAAGGAAGAGCAGACTGAGAAAGATGGCAGGGTATGAAAATGTGCAGCTCTCCAGAGGCTACACCCCTGCAGGTTTCTTTTAGGCATAAAGAAGGGGCATGGATGTCCTGGAATCAAGCCAGTTCATTTCAGTGTAGGTGACCAGAGGCAGACGGTCCTGGCACTGGACAGCTGGCTCCCACGGACTCTAAACCCCAGCCTTGTTCCACAGAGCAGAGAACCAGACATTAGAGAAGTCTAACGGTGGGTTTGGGGAGGCAGAGAAAGCACTGTGACTGTCTTAGGAAGGATGCAGACAAGACGACTGACTCCAGATAAATCCTTTGGCCTCCTCTGTAGAAAGATTGATGCTTTAAAGTTGATGCTTTAAGTCTTAAAGTCACTTATTCTATTAATAGGAACATGTGTAGGTGGTTGATTCCACCCTAACAAGTTCTTTGATCCAGGGTTGAAAGGGACACTGAGGTGGGGGCCGGCAGGTGGTGTGGTGGTTAAGGGTGCTGAACTCCCTCATGGCTGACCATGGTTTGAGTCCCGAACCTGGTGGTTTGCATTCTCACTTTCTCTCTCTCTCTCTCTCTCTCTCTCTCTCTCTCTCTCTCTCTCTCTCTCTCTCTCCCCTCTCTGATCAAAATTAAAATAAATAAGTAAATAAATAAAGTTAAATAAAAAATAATTCTTAAAAAACATAAAAAAGACTGCCGACTCTCATAGGGCTGCCACGCTAAGACAACAGTGGGTGGGGAGGAGCAGCTGCACCTAAGGACGGGGGACCACAGTCTACCTGGAGCCTGGGGTAGGCTGTGTGCTTTTTGTCTTAATGATGTTTTCACTATGTTTGTGCAAAATGACTTAACACCTTTACATCTGGTGGCTATCGCCACAGCATTAGGTAAAACCAGCCCAGGTTTTACAATCAAAACAACATCTGGAGCAGAGGGAAACTGCAGATGCTGGCATGAGATAACCCGTCTGGGACTAGACGCATCCTTCTGCACGCAGGAGTTGAGTTTCGTGAAGGAGCATCATCGCGCATCGTTTCAGAAGTCTCATCATACAATCTGTGACATAATCTGTCACAAGTAGGAAGCACCCCTCCAGAACAGACTGGATGCCTAGTGGCAGCTTCCACAGAAAGAAAAAGGCTGTGTACGGAAGGGTTCTTATCCGCAGTTCTTTTCAAGGCTGCACATTTAACTCCCTTGCGCAGCATCAATTTGGTCTGTTGCATTGAAGCAAATTTTACCAGGGAGATTAAGAGCCGCCATATCCAAGTCTCTCTTGCATTGTTTCTCTAAGGAGGTTCATTGTCACCTATTTGCCTCATTTACTTAGACTTTTGCAAAATGTTGCTGGATCCATAGGCAAATGCCTTACAGGGAAAAGACTGCCCACAAATAGCACTTGGAAAAAGCTTTTGTTAAAAACCTAAATAACATCCTGTGTCAAAACAAGTGTGACAATGGGCTATTATTTCTCTCCCCATAATAGCATGTTGTCACATCTTTGTGTCCTGCATGAAAGGGGGATGGGAGGCAACAGTGGGAAGGGGGTTGGGGCATGTGGCAACCTTAGAGAAGCACTTCCTGGTTGTGCATTTGCTAAAAACAGAAACTGCTCCTTGGGGAGGTAACTCAGAGGTTAATCTCTGCAGGTGCCCGGCCACAGCCTCGAGTTCATTTCCAAAGAAGGGCTCTGCGGTTGCCTGAGAATACCAGCTACAGCGATCTGACTGCCTTTCTCACGGCCGCCAGCTCTCCCTCCGAGGTGGACAGTTTTCCTTATTTGCGAGGATTAGACGGAAATGGAACAGGTAATCTGAGACTCTTCTTTCAGGCGGGACTTCTGTGTTTTATTCTTTATTTGTGACTTTTAGATATGACTGGAAATGTTAGCACTAAATGGGAGAACGCATGGAAGTTGCAGAAGGAGGGCTCTTTCTACAAGTTCCAGTGTGTTAAACTGTTCCCTTAGGGAAGCATTTTTAGGGAATTGAGTCTACACCACTGCAAGCATTGCCTTGGAGTGAATTGATCTGAGCCTCTCCGCTGCTAATGTGTAAGCACCTTCTCTAAGCTCTCCTTGGGTGCACTAAATACATTTAATTCAGAACAATTCTTAGAATTGAAAATGTGATTCTCTTGAAAATATAAGATCAGAGTTAGGAGATTTTTGCCCCTCTGCCCTCTGCCTCATCCCACTTGCCTCTGGACCTGTGGCTGGCGGAGTGGCAGCCTGCTCCGCTGCCCTGGTGGAGACACAGAGCCCCACCCACCCACGTGCCACCACTGGGAGTGGAAGGGGCAGCACTCCAATTCAGAGAGGAATTAGATCTGATTCAGAGATGAGCAAGCCTGCACTCCATGAGCCCTGCAGCACGTGGGAGATAGAGAGGAATAGCATCTGCTCTCTTCCATCTGAGAGCATCTAGCTTTTCCCCATCCTTGCTTCCTCTGCCTTGCCTTCTCTGCCTTTAACTTGGCAAAGACCAGCCAGGATTTGAAATTGATTAGGAATCTTCTTCTGGCAGATCTCTAAGTCACCTTGTCATTGCCACTCTGCTAGCATGACACAAAGAGCAGAGAAACAGAAAACCACCCGCCAGAAAATATGTGATAATTCCTTATCAGAGAAAGCCTGGAAGCACTTGCCCTCCACCTCCTTTCATGTCAAGCAGTGCAGGTCCCTGAAGCACCCAGTGCTAAAATAGTCCCCAGCGTTCTCCCTGGGGAAGGAAAGGTGCTCAGATTCTGGAGTCCTGGCAGTCTTTTTTTACACTTTAGAATAGTCAAAGCATCGAAATGAAAAACCAAAGGCTATTCTGGATTAAATCCTGCTAGGTAAGTCACTGCATTCCCAGGGACACTGTTACTGAATTTCACTTAATGTCCTACTACTTTACATAAACTGATTATCCTGAAAAAGCTTTTAAATGTGAAACATCAGATCCATTTGGCAACATGTTACTAAATTTCTGGTTGAAGATTGAGGTGACCTGGTGGAGACACAGATGGGTGACTCATTTTTCTTCTCTCTGTGATGTCTATTTGCAGAAAGATTGTTCTGCCTTTACTGTTTCTGTGCTGATGTTGCAATGAACACATCAGCAATTTGCCAACAGACATGGGTACAATAATCATCTTAAATAAGTGTCACCAGGAAACAGTGTTGACTTTTACTTTAATCGTGCAGGCGTGGGAGGGGAGCAGTGTCTTAGGGGAGCATGATGAAGTGTACTTTGAGGCCCTCATAACCTCCACTCTGTCTTCCAGACAAAACAGCACCATCCCAAGAACCCAACCTGGCATTCTTAGTCCTCAGAGCTCATTAACTTTCCTATACCCCACTTTCAATAGCTCTTGAATAAATTATGAAATCAGAGAAGACTGGGGGAAGAAGAACACAAAGACACAAGACTATTGATTTTAGAGGAGTTTGTTTTATTTTAAAATCACTTTTTTTCAAAAGATGGTAGAAGGTCTTTGGAAGGTGACATGACATTTCATTTCTACTGAAATAACTGATAAATTGACTTAGAAATGATCCAGCCTTTGGAACCAGCAGTTGGCATAATGGCTATGTCGCTGGACTCCCATGTTTCGAGTCCTGGACCCTGTGGCTTAAACTCATGCCGAGCGTGCATGCATGCATGCCCAAGATCCCGAGAGAAGGGATTGTGGTGTGGCCATCCCCCATGGGAGGTGATTTCTTGCTTTTTGTCTCTTTGTCTCTCTCTTTCTGGCAAGCGTGCACACCCTGTAGCAAAAACCTCTCCAAAATAAAAGAAAAAAGAGTAAGGACCCAGTCTTCTCTGACACCTACCAGGAAAGGTGTCTACCCCACAGGTGTCTCATGCACCCTTGGGGGCCCTGGAGGGGTCCTTTCCAGCAGCCCCTCAGCTAGCTGCTGGCCCCGGTTTCAGTTTGTGCACAGCTTCTCCTTGGCTCCCTAATTACAATTACAGTTTTGTAAAAAGGAATCAAAGATTTCAGCTAAGAGGGGAGCCCAGATCAGACACATCTTTGTAAGAAAACACGTGGTATGGTTTGAGTTCCGCAAAGGTGGGCAGAAACAAAGGCGGCCACACAGAGGATTGGGAAGGGCTCCAAAGGAGATTGCCTAGGAGTGTCATATGGTCAGTGGTGTCAGCCAGAGCAGGAGGTTCCAGAGCTATAAGTAGAGAAAGACAGCCACCTGGAGATCTGGCCCACTTCCTTGCTTGCTCTTTCCAGTCTGTTTGCTTTGTAACTTCCGGCCATTATAAAGGGGCCTCCCTCCTCACATGCAGAAAGCATCATGTCCATCCCCCGGTTGCTAAGGAAGCTTGGAATTCTTCTATGTCTTTCACAAAGGGGTTCAGAGAAATTGCTTTTGTTCATAACTCCCGGAAAACAGAAAGGAGCCAGTGAAACACCTAAGACAAAAACTTTCCCTGCAGTCCTAAAAAGTTGGTGCAAGGAGGCAAAACCAAAGAGAGCTGCGGACATCAGCTGCGCAGAATGTCTTGGTTTGCAGTGAGCAGCTGGGCCCAGATAACACATTCTGTGTCCTCGCTTGGTCAATGTGCTCCTCCTGCTCCTGCTGCTTTGCCTCACACCTTTCCTTGTTCAGACATGAAGGTAGCATCAAGACAGAACAGGAAAGAAATGTCTGGTTATACAAAGAACTCATAGTGCTGGGGCCAGCAGATGGCATAATGGTTACATCACTGGACTCCCACGTCGTCGACCATGGTTCGAGTCCCAGACCACGACTTAAAGCTTATGCTGAGTGTGTGCACATGCATGCCCAAGATTTCACGAGGAAAATAGAGGAGAAGGGATTGCAGCATGGCCATCCTCTCTGAGGGATGATTTTTCACTTTCTGTCTCTGTCTCTCCAGTGAGCGCACACATCCTTATAGCAAAAATCTCCCTCAGGAAAAAAAAAAAAAAAAAACTCATAGTGTCTTGTATGGAATCAGTCTCATAACAAAGAGTGTAAGGAAAATAATGTAGCCCTTCAACATCTGAATTGTTCCAAAATAAAGAAAAAGCAGGACAGTGGTGGGAGAGTCATTGGGAAGGCTTAGTCTAGGCACAGAATTTAATGGAGCACTGAAGAATGAACAAACCTCAAGAAGGTAGGTAGAATTCCTCCACTGTCTTAAGACAGCTAGAGAACTCTTAAAGAAACCTAGAATTACATGAATGTAATGTGCATAGCTTTCAATTGATGTGCTGGTTTCTGCCACGCTATACTTACTTCTGGACACTTACAGCAGAGTCTATTTCTATAGATTTGGCAAGGCAACTGGTCCACCCACTTTAGTTTCGAAAATGAAATAAACAGACCCCAGAAGAGTGAAGTAAGTTAGCAGATTTGATGCTGGAATCCTGTCTTCCTTGGCCAGGCACGTGCAGGACTATAGGAAAGGAGAATGAATCTAAAGAGTGGATGAGGGAGAAGAGGAGACTCCAGTCCTAGAGTTTTCCTTGTCCACCTACCTGCCACCTCCCTATTCAGACTTCCTGCATAGAGTTTGATTTAAGAAAACAACACTTGCTAATAGAAAACAACATCTCTAAGTTGTTTATACAAAGTCTCATAAGTTAAATAATATCTCTGTAGTTCTAAGCTCTTTCTTGTTGAGAAGTTCCAATGGAACCTGGAATGCTGTATGGCATTGCTGCTCCATTACCTTTAAGCATGTGTGTCTCAATCCAAGATTCATTGGCCAGGCAGCTACAGTGGTACAGTGATAAAGTGATGCTCCATGATGCCAAGACCACATAGAAAGGGCTCAGGTGCTTGTCCCAGGGTCTCCCTGTAGATGCCTGGCATAGGAGCCCATGATGCGGGCTGGCTAGGGGTGAACGATGAAATAAGGACCCTATTGGAGGTACCTGTCTGTCTATCTCTCTGTCTCTCTCTGTCTCTCTAATGTGAAAAATAGATTTCTTTAAAAGATATTTGGGCCAGAACCATGGTAAATTCTGGGGGTTTATTTTCTTTACCATAAAATGGATTGGCCAGACTAAGAGATTTCTGAACTTGCATCTATGATTCCAACTTAGACCTATGATGAAATCTTCATTCTCATGACTCTCCCTTCATTGAAAAACAGATGGATATAAATTATAAAAGATGCTGATATCATTCACTATATAGAAATTTCTCTCTGTGAAGAGTTCAATTCTAAGTCATGGTTGAAACTCTAAAATTCACTGGAGTTGCTTTAAATGTTTAAATTTAGTACAGATTGGAAGTTTGCGTTGGCCCAGGTAGGTAGATAGGTAAGAGCATAGGTAGTTGCATTCAAAATCCTATACATTGTGAGCTAATGTCACTTAAAATCATTATCACTGTGTTTTTGTCATTCTCCTCAAGGAAAGATGTAAAATTATTACCCAGTACATTTTGTGTGCTATTATATTTCACTAGAGAAAAATCTAAAATGGATTGCTTAAGTGTATAAATATCACTCTCCAAAGTGTGCTCTAGTTTCTCTGTAGATAGTCATTAAAGCATTGGCTTGGATGAGAGTCCTCTAATGGAGAAAAATTGGAATATTAAATTCCTTTTAAACAGACCAAAATAGCAGTGGCAACTAAAATAACGCATAAACATTTCAAGTCTAAGTTTCAGTAGTATACTTTTTCACAGAAGTAAGTGCATATTTTGAAGTAATCCTTAAAAAAAGTTATTTTTTGAAAGAACAGTCTCTAATTTTAAAATATTTGGTTTCACTATGGTAATTTGCTAAGGAATTAACATATCCATGGGGATCACTTTGAGTAGAAGTTGTTTTCAGTGATTTCTACATACATCTTCATCCTGCAATATAGAAAAGTCCTTTTCTATCAAGGCCCTGTTTGAAAGCAAAATATGAGACAGTAGCTAGAATTGGCAAACCAGCACTGGGCTGCCAGGTCTAAGACTAACTAGTGTATGCCCTTAGGCTAGATGCTGTCACTATCTCCTCTGAGCCTGAGTCTTTAAAATAGGGATTCTGCCTGCCTTCTAAGACTGCGTTGAGGATCGTGTACATGAAGTGCTCAATACAGTCCTCGGCATAGAGAAAGCAGACTACTCAGTGAAAGGTATAATAGCGGTGACTAGGGGACCAGCAGGCAGCATGGTTGTTAAGACGTTAGACACTCCCACCTGGCCAATCATGGTTCAAATCCTGGACCTGGTGGTTTGTTTTCTCACTTTCTTTCTCTCTCTCTCTTTCTCTCTCTCTCTCTCACCAAATTAAAAATGAATAAATACAATTAAATAAATAATTCTTCAAAAAAAACAAAGTGGTGACTAGTTCTGACAGCCCTTGTAGATTCTCTGCATACCTACGATGAATGTCTTTTTTTTCTTATTCCAGGAAACAGCACCAGGTATGACCTGACTCCAGTCACGGCCGTCAGCGTCCACTTGCTCAGCAGTAATGGAACGCCAGTCCTGGTGGATGGCCCCATCTATGTCACTGTGCCCCTAGCCACCCAGAGCAGCCTGAGGCACAATGCCTATGTTGCGGCATGGCGGTTTGACCAGAAGCTGGGTAAGCAAGAGTTCCTCTGCCCACAATCAGTCACTAGAGAACTTCATTACCATTTGCTTTTCCTTTCAAAAAGCCTGGGGAGGTCTCTTCCATGAAGTTGGTAAACACTGCTTTTCAGAATGCATTGCCTGCTTTCTAGTGGGTAGAGCTGACGTCCTTGTGCCATTTGGACACTCTTTTGGGAGTTGACTTTTTCGTTGCATTTGTTTGTTTTGCATGCTTAAGCTAATATACTTGAAAAGAACCTTTAAAAGTTGTTAGAATTAAAATAGGCTCTCCTATTCTTTCGCCCTTTATTCTTTAGGATGCCTTATGAGCTCTCATGGTCACGTGGTTTTCTTTTTCTGTTTTCTGAAAAAGGAAAAATGTTTGCCAACATTGAATAAAACAAAGAAAGTAAGAATTATCCATAATCCTACCACCTGGACAAAACTATCCATATGTTTTGATTCTGTCCTTCTAGTCATTTCACTACACACAGATGCATAAGTTATCAATTGCTACATAACAAGTTACCCTAAAACCTAGGAGCTTAAGACAGTGGTGAACATCTACTATCTCATGACTTGGGGGTAAAGCATCCAAACACAAGTGAGCTGGGTACGCTGGACATTGTTCTTAGCAAGGGTACAGCCAAGCTGTTGGCCCAGGCTGTGGTCATCTCAAGTAAGATTTAGCTGGGGCTAGCCAGCACAGCTCCGAATCACTCACACAGTTGCAGGAAGACCTCACTGGCTGGTGGGCAGGGGGTTCAATCCCTTCCGGGACGGGGTTCCAATTCCTTCCCAAAAGCCACTCTCCATAGTGGGCCCCAAACACACCCCCCAGGTCAGTGCTCTACAGAGGTGGCAGAGCATACGATTATAAGCAGGGATCCTGAGGGCACGATAGATAGGAAATCTGGCTTTGCCACCTACTTGCTGTGTTCCTACCCAAGCTACTTAACCTTTCTGTGCCAGTTTCCTCAACTGTGAAACTGGAATAATAATAGCACCCACTGTTAGTTAGGAGGATACAGGGTTCTCTGGAGAGGCAGAACCAATAGGGTGTATGTGTGTGTGTGTGTGTATGTGTGTGTATGAAGACAGAGAAAGAAAAGGAAAAAGTAAGGGAGTTGGGGGAGTAGAGGAAAAGCAGGAAGGAGAGTGACTGATTTTAAGGAATTGAGTCACAGAATTGTGGACAGTGGAAAGTCCAAATTGCAGAGCAGGCTGCCAACGAGAGATCCAGAGAAAAGCTGATTTTGCAGTTTGAGTCCAAAGGTAGTCTTCTGGCAGGATTTCCTCTTCTTGGGAGGACCTCAATCCTTTTCTGAAGCTCTTCATGTATGGAAAGACATGGTCCATGCAGTTACTAAGTTTTTACCTGTCCCCTACCTAGGTTTTCCTGACCTTCAAATGCTTCTGACAAGAGCAGTTCCCGGGCCAGCTCAGTGATGCAGTGTGATGCACTGCTCAAGCCGTGCTGGATCTGTGGAAGATCACGTGCCCATTTCCCTAGTTGCTGCATACACTCGGCACATGCATTGATCCTGCCTGGCTAGGAAGGCTGGGGAGGGTTGGTGGCATGGGACACTGTTGCAGGAGCTTGTCTCTCTGCTCTCTCTCTGCGCTCTCTCTTATTCTCTGTCTCACTCTCATGAATTAGTGAAAGAAAGAAAAAAAGAACAGTTTTCCACATGATGGTAGATACCCAATTAAAATGTTTGCTTAGGGCTGGCCCTGTGTACAGTCGTTAAGGGGAGCAGATCCCCCATGCCAAATGCAGTTCAAATCCAGGTCTCGGTGACTTGGTCCATGCGTGCATGCCCCAAATCCTAATGGGATGGACAAATGGAAGAGAAGAACTGAAGCCTGACCATGCCCCACTCAGAAATACTCCCCCCATCTCACCATCTCTCAATGGCAAGTGCGTGCACCCTCTGGCAGTTTCTTTACAGAAATGTGCATTGTTATGAAGCCTCTTAAATATAAATTATTCAGTTCTCTATTTCCCCTCTGAAATAAGGCATTGAGTCTGTCCTCATTGGAAATCTTCATCATGTTATTGATCATGAGCGGTCTTCAACATGTTTATGGAAAATGTGCACTGTGAAAAAACTCAGTAGGGATTTCAGGGTTTTGTTTTTTGGGGGTACCAAAATAAGTTTGTACTTTAATTCTGTCTTTCCACAAACTTTTTTTTTTTTTTGAGAGGTTTTCACTATAGGGTGTGTGTGCTTGCCAGACAGACAGAGAGAGACAGTGAGAGACAGAGAGACAGAAAGTAAGAAATCACACCCCAGGGCGAATGGCTACGCCGCAATCCCTTCTCCTCCATTCTCCTCTCGGCATCTTGGGCACACATGCACACACACTCGGCATGAGTTTCAAGCCACCAGGTCCGGGACGCGAACCACGGTTGACTACGTGGGAGTCCAGTGACATAGCCATTAGGCTAACTGCTGGTCCCTTTCCACAAACTTTTTGCAGTCCTTTCATAATTCCTGTTTTTTTTTTTCATTTTATTTTCTTCCATACATTCAATTACATTATTATTTGTCTTACAAAGTGGATATTTCAACAGGTGAACATTACTCCCTAGTACAGTTGATAAAACTACAAAATATCTTCAACAGATAATATCACACCTCTTTGTGCCATTAATGCTTTGCCTCCCTGTCCCTCCCCCAAATGTCCTTCGTCAGACCCTCCTCTTTCACACACACTATATCTGGTATTTACATCTATATACTCTGTTTCTATATCCTTTAGTCAATTAGTTTCAGTCATAGAGTGCGGACACTTGGTATATATTAAGTGGAGATATACAATGCCTCTCCTTCATAGCCTGTCTTGCTTCACTCAGCAGTAAGTCTTCCATATTCATCCACTTCCTGTCAAAAGCCAGAGTTTTGTTGTTTTTTTATGGCTGAATAGTATTCCATTGAGTATATGTGCCACAGTTTTTCTATCCATTCAACTGTTTGTGGGCATTTGGGTTGGTTTCATGTCTTGTAGCAATTGTGAATAATGCCACAATAAACATCAATGTATTAAATCCTTTTCATAGATGACCCATGCATCTGGTAAGCATTTTAAATATTAGAAAGGGTATATATAGAAAAAATGAAGTCTTCCTCCTAACCTGGGTTGGATAATCCTTATTTTCTTATCAATATAGTCTTGAAGGACTGAAGAACTTTTGTTTTTTAGTCTTAGTCATTCTGACTGGGGTTAGGTGGTATCTCATTGTTGTTTTGATCTGCATTTATCTTACAGTGAGGGTTGTTGAACATTTTTCCATATGCCTTTTAGCTATTCATATGTCATCTTTAGAGAGTGGTTTTTTTCACTCATTTTTCCACATTGATTTTCTTTTTCCAGAACAGCTGCTTCAGTTCCTTGTGAATTCTGGTTATCAGTCCCTTATCTGACGTATAGTTTACAAAAATATTTTCCCATTCTGAGGGCTGTCAATTCACACTAATTACTGTGTCTTTTGCCATGCAGAA